GGGGGGGGGCGGGGCCTGGCGTGCACCGCATCCGGGCAGCGCTGCGAGACGTGACCCCCGAGCCCGGTGAGTGCAGTGTGGGGCGCTCGCGCGAGGGGCTGTGGGGCCGGGCTGTCCCGTCCCGTCCCGTCCCGTCCCGTGACGCGCGTGTGCTTCGCCCGCAGGCCATGTCCAAGTCGCTGAAGAAGCTGGTGGAGGAGAGCCGGGACAAGAGCCAGCCCGAGCTCGACCTGTGCGACCGTGGCGTCTCCAACATGCTGGACGTCCCCGGCCTGTGTAGGTACCGCCGCGCTCGGCTGGGCCCTCGGGGCGGCCCGGGCCTGTCCTCCCCCAGGGCGGGTTCCAGTGGGAGGCCCAAGTTTTGTGCCCTTTAAAAAAGAGCCCATAGAGGCGTGGTCCCTGCAGCCACTGAGCCAGCGCCTTCCTGGTCTTCAGGGCCCATCCCACACCCAGGTCGCTCCGTCTGACCGAGACTTGGCGCGCTCAAGCTTGGGGATGATGTAAAAGCCTGTGCACGCATCCCCTTAAAAACCTGTGTCTTCAACCTGTCCTGTGCTGACTGCTCCCTTCTCTTGGTTTATTAAATTGTATTTTTATGTGTCTGACATAGCAGTCCTGAATTGGAGAAAATACCCAGTGGCTTCTGGTAAAGTGAAGGGAAGTGCCGGGAACCACTTGGCGTCAGGATTTTGAGTTGCTTGGTGCATGGTCCATCTTGTATTTGCGGTCCCCAAAACATGGTTAAAACTACATTGTTAAGGCTCCAGCTCTGATTTGGGCTGCCTTGTACGACTGTTTGTTTTAACTCAAAGCATAGGAGCAGTATCGCTGACTTCAGTTTGGAAATGTTCCAGTGGGTCCATTGATTTCAACGGGAGCAACTTTTATGGGCTTGACCTGAGTTTGGCAAGTACTGAACCAGGATCTAAATGTACAGTATGTAGTTCTGGTTCTGCAAAGGCTTCCAGCCATCTTTTTTGATCATGGAAGGCTTCATGTTGGGTTCTGAGTTAGAGCCCGATTCTGTATTTCATAACCTAGTGAATTTGCTAGGGTGAACTACACTGTCCGTTAGGTTTCTTATAACTACTGTACTTATAAAAAGGGAATTGCTCATTGCTTTCTCATCACTATGTTTTGTAATATGTATTGAATGAACACGTTGTAATGGGTTTGTGTTGAATCAACTTTACAGTTCATTGCTTTTGGAGTTAAAAGGTGTTTCTGAGCTTTCTGCTGTGAACCATGGCGCTAAAGAAAAATAACTTGGGCCATGAGCAATGTAAGCCCAATGCTATTAGTAGCAGCAATGCTGTATTTCTGCAAAGAAGGTCTGTAGGTGTAGGGGTCTCCCTGTCTGTCTTTTGCACTAACACTGGTTGGTACTAGAAGAGTTCAGATGATCTAAAAGTCAGAATTGAATTGTTCATAGTAGGACAGGCCAGTTAGTCTCTAATTGGTCATCCTGTCCTACTTTGAACAATTCAGTGCAGCCAGGCTGGGCTGCACTAGCAGGGAGAGCTCCTGCCGACCGCTCTGGGGCCCGCTGGTGTTGGCCCTGGGACACCCTTGTGGGCCCTGTGCACCTTTTCGCTCCCAGTGCCCCCCAGCCCCACGGTACAGGCCGGGGGCAGCGCACAGCCCCCACCCCCTGCTTGCCAGCAGGGAAGGAGCTGGTGCTGAGCACGGGGAAAAGTGGCTCCTCCTTGTGGCCGGCGCTCCCCGCTGCAGCTGCTCGTTGCCTGGGCAGGGCTGTCCTGAGCAGGCACAGGCAGCCTCATGCAGGCTGCAAGCAGCTACAATGCAGGGCCCTAGCTATGGGGCCGGCGAGGGGCCACTTTTCCCCATGCCCAGCACCC